GTTATTACTGGCCTGGCCTTTCTTCCAGTGTAGCGCGGTACGTCGGTTCCTGCTACCCATGCCAGCGTCGTAAACTCCCCACGTCGGCACCTGCTGGACCTCTACAGTCACTTCTGTGCCCTTCAATGCCGTTCCAGGTTGTAGATGTTGACCTTTACGGGCCTCTCCCCGTCACATCTGCTGGCAAACGATGGATAGTAACCGCCGTGGACCACCTGACACGCTATGCTGAGACTTTCTCTGTTATTACAGGCTCAGCTGTGGAAGTTGCAGACTTTATTCTTCACGCAATAATACTGCGTCATGGGGCTCCTCGTGTACTGCTTAGTGATCGCGGCAAACTGTTCCTGTCACAAATGGTAAATGAAGTACTCTGCGCTTCTGGAACTACTCACAAGACTGCTTCAAGCTACCACCCTCAGACAAATGGTCTTACAGAAAGATTTCACCGAACCCTTGCAGACATGATAGCCGTTTACGTCCAACCCGACCACAAAAACTGGGATACTCTTTTACCATTCCTGACATTCGCTTACAACACCGCCGTTCAGTGAACAACTTGCTACTCACCGTTTTATCTCGTGTACGGACGCACCCCGACTACCTTTCTCGACGTCTCCTTCTTTAGCAGCCATGGGGATTCGTGTCAGTCTTCTAGCGAAGAATACATTTCCTGCCTGGCTCAGTCTCGCCATCAGGCTCGCATCAATACTGAAGCGAGACAGCACGAGCGGAAGATCACCTATGACGAATCCCACCGCGTTGTGTCTTTCCAACCTGGTGACGAGGTGCTGCTTTTGACACCTATTCGCACTCCTGGTCTCTGTGACAAATTCCAACCACGCTTCATCGGGCCATACATTGTTTTAGAACAGACTTCGCCGGTTAATTATCGTGTGACACCACTCGTCGCCCCAACAGACCGCCGCTACCGCAGCACAGAGATTGTCCACGTTTGTCGCATGAAACCTTTCACGCGACGTTCCCCGTCACTTTGACTTATGGCGGCCAGGGTGTCCGCTTCCAAGTGGGGGGAAGGGGGAATTAGTGTGGGCATTTGTTACTTGCATCGTCCTCATCCCTGCATGATCACAATCACCATCATCCGCTTGTCTCTTTGTCCTCATTGCCACTCTGGTACATCATCATCGTCATCGTCTGTGTACTGGCTCTGCCCGTTCGTTTTGCGAGGTCTTTCCTCAATTAAACGCTGTCACAACCCAGACTACCAAGACTTCATAATATATATATATATATATATATATATATATATATATATATATATATATATATATATATATATATATATATATATATATATATATATATATATATATATATATATATATATATATATATATATATATATATACACACACACACACACACACACACACACACACACATATTTTGTTCTACTGCTTGTTCAGTAGTCCGCTCATACTCTTGATTGTTTACTTCTGGAAATAAGTTCTGATTATTGTATTGTATGTGCCATACGTGTCTTACTAAATATTATATATGTGAGATGCTTTGGGGATGCTTTAAACTCCAGTAATCATATGACATATTTTGCCATTTATTCCTAAAAGATCAGTAGCTGCTCTTAACTAGCAGTTTTTCTGCGCCAAAAATACTTATGGCTGCTCTAGGGCAGCACTTTCTGTGCTCAAGAATCTGTTAAAAAAAAGTGAAATAAGTTCAGTCGTCTCTTTTAACGTTGCCAACTTTGAAGCAGCTGAGTGTAAATCGTCAAGGGGTAATCTCAGTGGGTTGGTGCTGATAATTAAGTCACATTGTAAAATGTTTTGAATTAAGTGAGCTTAGGCTGGGAATACATCTGATAAAGTATCGACCATGATTAGCGTAAATTTAATGAGAAAATTTGGCCACGTCTGTAAATTGCAGCCCAATTAAAAAACACAGTTACACGATGCAGTTTTTCATCCATTCCATTTTATGGTATTGTTTTTTGACCCATACATGCATAGACACATAACATAATATGTTACGCTGATGCCCTGCTTTACTGGTACCAGAAATGTGGGACAAGCTAATGTTCTCTGCCGAAATTGAAAGCAAACTGTTTATGTCTTAGCATTTGTGTTAATTGTTTAGTGAACACATTTCTTGTTAAATGTAACATATTTTCCTGGTCCCTTCAGGTTATGTTCAGTACGAGTATATTGTAGCAATGTTTTCTCTCTTTACCGTATTGTTGTCGGCTCACAAACACCTCTTTCACAACATCTTGTGGCTCCTTTTTTTTTTAAAATTCCTTTCTGCCCTGCCGCGGTGGTCTTGTGGCTAAGGTACTCGGCCGCTTACCCGCAGGTCGTGGGATCGAATCCGGCTGCGGCAGCTGCATTTTCGATGAAGGTGAAAATGCTGTAGACTCGTGTGCTCAGATTTGAGTGCACGTTAAAGAACCTCAGGTGGAGAAAATTTCTAGAGCCCTCTACTATGTCGTCCCTCATAATCATATTGTGATGTTGGGACGTTAAACCCCACATATCAATCAACAAATTTTTCTCCCTCTTCTGCTTTGCCTCTATATAGTGCTGCTTGAGCGATAGACACTTTAAATGTTGTTTTGACAAATCGGGCATTTACACTTGCACGTGAAAGCAAGGAAGCTAGACGTAGTCAAGGTAGGCAATAAATTCGGCATAACACTTGCGAGCAGACACACAGCTTTAGAACGACAGAATAACTACAACGTTCTAACAGTAGAAATGAGAGACTAGGCAAGCTCTTCCAATCCGAGAAAGAAGGATTGCTGGTGATTTTGGTACCCTGCAAAATTCGAGCGCAGCAGCACTTGAGCAGCTCTTTCAGCAGTTACAGCAGAACAAGCACTTTTATCGATTGCATCCGAACTGCAGTTTCGTGCCAACCCTAAATAATTATGAAGAAAGACACAGTAGAGGATTATGGGTTGGTTTTTTCACTTAGGAATGGTTTCCTAATGTTCCCAGAGATTTGAACACACAGGTGCTGTTTTCATTTTGCCGCTATCAAAATTTAGCTGCTGTGGCCAAGAATTTAAGGAACCTGTGACCTTGAGTTTGTCAGCGTAACACCTCAGCCTGCTGAGCAGTGAAGCTTGGTTTGGCGATGTTGATGCAGCTGTAAAGAAAAACCGCTAAATCAAATCAGCTAAAGAGAACTGTACAGAAAAGACTTTAAAATGATCCATGCTGCAGTGGATGTGCAGGGAATTTCTATTTTTTGCAATTTTAACAACATTGTAATGCCGACTAAGGGCTTCTGCTGTGAGCACTATAATTTGCAGATTGATAATTCAATATCAACAGCAAATCAGTCAAACAAGATACCGCAATTCAATCTGTGTAACTATTGATAAAGTTAGTGGTAAGGGCCCGGAAAGATGCCCCTGTAGAATTCTGTGCTATAGGGAATTGAGCCAGTGTATGCAACTGTCAGTTTGATGAGGGATGTGAATACTTTTCATTTAAATTAAAAATCTTACAGCATTTCATATTCACTTTTTCAATCCGGTTAGAAAAATGCCAACATTCTGTTGCACACAAAAGAAGGGTTGAGGTCATGAAAAAATTGTAACAACCAAAGCTCATTTGCTTACTTTCTGTATTGTATAATATATTCATAGAGGTGATTTTATTAGGGGTGAAACATGTTCATCAACCAGGAGCTCAAGCTAGCTTCAGGAGGAAGTACTCAAGAATAGAGAACAGCCACATAATCCTCTGAATAGTTCAGAAAATTTTTGTGTACAACAAACCTATTAAGCTTTCATGCATCAGTCTTGCACTAGGCATTTTCGAAGCACACATTGTAAAAGGGTGCTTAAAACATGGAAATACTCCAACCAACAGCTTTTCTGCTTCGCCACATGAAAAGCAAGGACGTGGTGAAGAAAATGTCAGGCAAGTGGAAACTCTCTCTGATGTTTTCCACCTCACGCTATGAAGTATTCAAATCCTTGGTTGCCATGAGTGTAGCCTTCACATAACGATGAAAGCGCTCAACTGTGTCATTGCTCATGGAGTGGTGTACCATCGTACGTAACCACAAGGTGCTTATGAGCTGGCTGATAGCAATTTCTCATGGGGTAGTATGCTGTTATACATATCGGGGTGGTTTCCATGAGCTGACTGATAGCAGCGATGAGGTTGAGAACTGGGCTTGTTGGTGACTGATCATTGCAACGTATGGCATGGGTTCGGCCAATCGGTTGAGAGTTCGGCCAATTGGTTGAGAGTAAAAGAGCGAGTAGTATCTTGTCTTACATAGGGTCTAAGACAAATGTACCTGTCTTATACAGGGTTTAAGACGAGTGGCAAGCCCACCTAATGGGCACCTAATTGGGCACCAATATGTGATGTCTGTATTATAAAGAGAAGGATAAAAAGAAAACAAAAAAGAATGCTAATCTAGCGAGCAGAATAACACACTCAATCTCTTACTCAAAAACACGCTTCGGCCATATGAAGGAAACTCGATAGGCAACCCAGAGTGCATGCTCACCGCCATTCGAAATGCAAAACGGGGTCCCGAGCATTTGCAATGTCAACTGCAAAGTAGCAAGTGAGAGATAGGCCACACGGGGTCGAGCACACTTGGACACTTCATCCCACCTCCCATGTTCCAAATGCAATACTTCTGAGCGAAAAGGGCTGCAAAGAAATGCTGCAGTCAGTGCCCACTACACTCAAGCCTCATTATAAAAAATTGTATCTTACATGAAATAAGTCGTTATATCCAAAAATTTGTTATAAAGGTATATTGCTAACACTATGTCGATTGCAAGCCTATTGTTCATATATTTTGTTAAAACCAATATTTCGTTATATCCGGTTCGTTATATCAAAGTTTGAGTGTACACTGTGCAAAGGACAACCTCGACGCAGCACCAGTGATGCAAACAAAAGTCAAAACAAGGTGGGCACAGGAGGAAAGAGGGATGCACGAAAAAAAATGAATGGTTATAGCACAGCCACAGCAATGTCCTCCCTATGAGCAAGAAAGGAACACGAGCACAGCTGAGCTGTTCTGGGAATCTGGGAACATCTGCTGTAAGTTGCTCAACTTACAAGATGAGAATGTGTGCTACAAGCAGTTATGACTGGTGTATGCAAAAAGCAGTAACAAAGAGGCCAGTTTTGTAAAAAATAGAGAGATAAAGAAAAGGAAATGGTGCTGTATCTATCTGCAAAAAAAAAAAAATCCTTGTGCCTACTAACATGCCTTTGCTAAGATTGAGTATACACGCAAACTTCATTATAACGAAGTTGCATAATATGCAAAAATAAGTTTGTTGCATGAAAAACCACCAAATTTATGACTGTGATTGGGTCTGAAGCGCAGAAGATTTAAAAGACGTTCACTCTTAGTAAGGTGGAGAGCAAGGATGTGGCAGCAGCGAAGGTTATTTCAGGGAGCACGTCCCACCAAAGAGCAGCCCTGGTTATGAGCAATATGTTCAACAAGATGAAGTGGAGAAGGAGAGAGCCTTAGACTTCCGCTATACGGCTTCACATCGGCTGGCACCACCATATAATGAAACCGGATCTCGCGGATAGGCATCATTGGCAGTGACGACAGTGCAACAAACACATCTTTCTGGCCTTACGCACGATTCTTTACTGCGCAGTTATCCGTGTTTCAAAGCATCGACAAGGAGCCGTAGACGCCAGCCGCTTTATCGTGGAAGCAAGCCTGCTGCACTGTCATTGACGACACGTGTGGAGCTGCGGTCATCCTTCTGTCTTCGCACAGCAGGGATAGTTGCTCTGGGGATCCGCTAGACGGCTTCACATCGGCTCGGCACTACCATATAAAGAAACCGAATCTCGCGGATAGGCATCATTGCAGTGACGACAGTGCAACAAACACATCGTTCCTGGCCTTACGCACGATTCTTTACTGCACAGGTTAGTACATTTAACAGGTTTTTTTTCCATTTGCTCTGTCGTTACACTGTCGTTGCTGCCATATTGTTAAGACCATCCCTTTGTGTGACTTGTCGTTTTGCGCATATCTGTACTGCTTTGCTGAATTCTGCGCAATGCCTACTGTTGCTGAGCTGAACAAAAAAGTTATCGAACTTGAATCAATACTCAACGAATGTCCTGATAATTTCGTTGACGCTATCTTTAACAAGTTCATCGTCAAAGCACAGCTATCTGGTGTGAACTTCTCTGAAATGAAAAAACAAATGAGCGAGTTGGTAACCAGCGCTGAGCACATGAATGACATCGTGGAAAGTTTGCGGAAAGATAATGTCTCTTTGATTGCGGAAAACAAGGCGCTAAAAGCACAAAATGCGGAACTATCTCGTAAAGTGATGCAAATGAAACAATATTCACGGATTAACAACGTCGAGATCAAGGGCGTTCTGGCGACAGAAGGGGAAGACTGCGCGACAATCGTGTACACTATAGGTGATAAGATTAATTGTAAACTGGCGCCCAGTGATCTCGACATCGTACATCGTGTTTCAACAGTGAAAGCTGGCGCAAAGAACTTGCTTGCTCGCTTCTGCTCTCGGACGAAAAAGGCTGAATTTGTCAGCAAGGCTCGGAAGGCCAAACAATGCCTAAGTGACATTGGACTGCCCGAAGCCGCCAACAACCCTGTCTACATTAACGATCACCTCACCCCCGAAAACAAGGCACTCTTTTCTCAGGCACTGGCTTCAAAGAAGGGGAACAACCGGAAATTCTTGTGGACAGATAACTGTCAAATAAAAGCCAGGAAGACAACGGAGAGCAAGGTGCTACGCATCACCTGCGAAGCCGACCTGCCCGAAAATCTGCTAGTGAACCATATTGAATTTCAATTTCTTCCTCTGTTGCACTTAGGGCCATTCAATTATGGCGACTTATTTCTCAACAGATCATCTCAATTGCTTCCTTTCACCTGTCTCCCGCTCTGCGATTCATAATAACGCAAGAAGCATCGTAAACACTTCGATGACATACAGCTTCTTCTCTCTGCTCTTGACAATCTGTTTTCACTTATCGGTATCTCTGAAACCTGGCTGAGCGATGATGACAAAAATTTGTTTGGTCTCCCCTCATACAACTCTGAATACTCGCATAGGCCTAGCAGCATTAATGGAGGTGTCACCGTTTATAATAAATCGAACATACACTACATACGACGACATGACATTGAGTTAAATGTAACTGGCTGCGAAAGTGTTTGGGTACAATTTAACCACGATTTCCTTAAGCTAGACAGCAAGAGCTTCATCTTTGGATGCATTTATCGATCCCCATCCTCATCAGTCATAAATTTCTGTGAAGCCCTCCACAAAGTATTATACACGCTATCTCTCAGTCATACAAATGAAGTGATTATCGGTGATTTCAACATTGATATACTTGACCTATCTTCTTCTAGTTCTTTGAATTACTCCAGTGTCTATCAGAGTTTTTGCTATGAATGTTTAATCTCCCTTCCCACACGCTGCATGAATGGCGAAGTACCTTGATTTATCATGCACTTTCCACAAGTGCCGGATGCAGGGGTTCTTAACGTCAACATCACTGACCATTACCCGATTTTTCTACGCTTCAACTGTATCTCTTTACCGACTAGCATATCTTACACCAGGTGTGTTCTAGACAAAGAATCGTTCATTGATGATATCATGTACACTGATTGGTCGTCAGCAATACCCTTAGATGATCCACAATTTGCATTTTCAGAGCTTTCATCCATATTATTGTCACACATTCAGCGTCATACTGAGGTTCGCAAATGTAAAAAAACATACGCCAGTCCTCGAAACCCTTGGGTTACTGGAAAATTACTGAAGGAGCTGAGAGCCAAAGAGAACCCTTATAGAAAAACAAAACGGAAGCGTTTTAATTTAAAATTCCTCGCGCATCACAAAAAATTCTGCAATGCCCTTACGTTGCAGTCTGAAAAATGCAAAAAAGTTTTATTATGAACGAAAAATTGAAGATGCTGCTTCAAATGGTAAAAAAAAATGGGAAATTGTCAACTCATTCCTGAACAGGAATGAAAGGCATTCTAGCATCACTACTATTCAGTATAAAAACGTTACGTATGATACCCCGTTAGAAATTGCGGAGGCCTTCAGTAACTACTTTTTAAACTCTGATGTCATCCCCAATGCTGACTATCATCTTCCCTTTCTCGTATGTCACAATCTTTCTTCCTATTTCCTACCACATCTTATGAAGTACACAATGTCATTCGTCACCTGAACACAACAAGTGCTGGCCCTGATGGTATTCACCCAACCCACGTAAAAATGATTGCTCATGTTGTTTCTGATATTTTGGCATCCATCATCGACCTAGCTTTCAAAACTGGCATCTTTCCTGTAGAATTGAAAAGTGGCAGAGTCGTCCCCGTTTTTCAGAAAGGTGACCATACACTGATATCCAACTATCGACCCAATTGCATAATACCATTTCTCAGTAAAATATCCGAAAAATTGCTCGAAATTTTTGTGACGAAATACCTCAATAAGTCTCAGATTTTATTTCTTTCCCAATTTGGTTTTCGGGAAGCATATTCCACTGACCTCGTTTTGTTGTCTTTAACTGAAAAGTTGAAGACAGCAATCGATGGAGGCTACTCTACAGGTTCCGTTTTTGTATATTTCACCAAAGCATTCGACACTATCAACCACCACATTCTTTTTATGAAGATTGAAGCAATAGGCGTAACTGGTCCTGCACTATCATTAATAAAAAACTACCTTCTCAATAGAAGCCAAGTTGTCAGTCTATCAGGTCATAATTCTATACCAAAAGTAACAAACATAGGAGTACCTCAAGGTTCTATTCTCGGCCCACTTCTTTTCATTATTTACATAAATGATTTGCATCTTGCCCTGCCAGCTCAGAATGCTTATTGTATGCAGACGACAAACAATTGTGAACACTGATAAATGCCTCCAATCTCTGACACAGAAACTTAATTATGACCTTTCAGGCTTGGCTGCGTGGTGTATCCATAATAACTTACAAATAAGTCCCACCAAAACGAAATTCGTTGTTTTCTACTCTCGGCAACGTGAACATAATTATATCCCGCCAATATTCCTAAATCAATTCGCAATTGAAGCAGGCGATGTGGCGACGTTCTTGGGAATTAGACTGGACCGTCATTTGAAATTTCATTCGCATGTTGCATACCTGAAAAAAAAAAGGCATACTGCAAACGTGTTCTAACTAAATCCCGTGATATATTTTCCAAACCCACATTACTTTCATTGTACTACGCATTTATTCATTTTCATATTAATTACTGTATCACATCTTGGGGCAATACCTACAGCAGTCATCTCGTTTCCCTTCAAACTATGGAAAATCACTCTATTAGAATTCTTACCCACAGTCATTATCGCAGTGATGCTAAAGCACTCCTGCATGCCAACAACATCTTAACAGTCGAGAACACTTTCAAGTATAATCTAGGCCTACTAGTTTTGAAGCAAATAAAAAATTAGCTTCCTTTGTGTTAATCCCTCCATCCAGTCTAGAGAATACAAACTTGACAAGGTTTGCACAAAATCACAATTTTATCTTATCTATAGTTCATACTAACTATGGCAAACAAACAGCCCACTTCACTAGAATCCATCTCTGGAACACCATACCTTCAGGAATAAAAGCCTCGGTATCAATCAGCATATTCAAAAAAGATATGAAGTCTTTCCTCTCATCCATTCTATTATCTGGATAGTTTTGGTGACTTCTATTACTCCTGCTCTCTTTCATGCTTTCTCACAACCTAATGTTAACAAAGCATCACATCGTCATCCTACATTGCTGATATCAGATGTCACTGTTTAGTTTTCTTTTCTCGTAGTTTATTTTTACTATCTTTCACCATGGTAATTATCTGAAAACTACTTAGGAGAGTTGAGTTACCTCTATTTTTTATGTTGTCTCATTTCAGTTTTTATTGCTGCTTTCTGCTAATGTTTTTCTTAAGTCGAACTCCTTCTTCGTTTTTACCTGCGATGTATTTCATTACCTGTTTTCTGTACCACTGTTTGCTGCATCAATTATTTTTTTCTATATTCACTACTGTAGGAGGTTCCAATTCAGTCTCTGAATATGGGACCTCCTTCTGTATACACAAATATTTGTAATTGATTCGATGAGAAAATCATTTCTGAACACTTCTGAACCTGACTGCAGCGAGGTTGCAGGCTACGAATGACTAATTTGGAAACCTGACCGACAAGCTTCTGAGAGACAGGACCATCGTAGGCATTTCGAATAACGTTTGTGAAAAACTTCATGGTGACCTGACTACTGACTTCATCACTCCTCTTCATGGGCAGATCCGGTCTGACAAAGCACAGTTGTCGCACTTCGTGTGCACCAGGCATGATCGGTTACAATTTCGTCCTTGATATTCAATGATGAATACCTCAAGCTATGTGCAACTTTTATGGTTTCTAAAAATTCATTGGTATGCCTTAAATTATCATGCACTATAACTCTTTATTTTAACCGACTGTACTCAAATAAATAATAAGCTAATTACAAGTCTTTGTCAATTGTGTCAACATAATTTTAGTTCTACTCAACATGGTGCTCCTGTTCTAAAATGGCCTTACTGTCAGTAAATTTTTAGAAATGTACCGTCTAAAACAACATCCATCTATAGTATTATAATGGCATGCATTGAGCACCGCTATGTTTATGTATTTAGCCATGCCAATTAGTAAAAGGCCTATCGGGGTTGGTGCAGTGTCATCATTACAGTAATGCATGGCTTGGGCATGCAAAAGTTATGTACTCTCAACAGCAAAACTTTGTGGGATGTTGTATCCACAACAAATGCAATTTCTGCTTTATCACTGCCTAATGCTTGTAATGAAGCTGGTGACTGTGTAGGTCGGTATGCCTTTTGGACAATACGTTCCCAGAGAAAGCGAGAATTCAGCTTGTTCAAACATTTTATGTCCCGCAAAGTTTTGCTGTTGGTAGTACTTATCTTGCTATTCGAAAAACCTTTGGTTGCCTGGTGCCACAGTCTATTTATGCATAATATATAACATGATATGTGCTGCTTTCTTCTTCTCTCTGTGGACTTGCAGGTTCTTTTTCTGAGGCGTCTTTGAAGCAGGACAAGTACAGTTCACTCATGTCCATACAATGCTGGCCGCATTTGTGTCAGCAGTGCACAAATGAAAAAGCGCACGTTTGTAGACACACCCTCATTCGTTCATTCGCAACAGAGACATCGAAAGCCATATTCATTGCCCCATCATGGTGGTCTAGTGGCTAAGGCACCCGGCTGCTGACTAGCAGGTCGCGGGTTCAAATCCCGGCGGCGGTGGCTGCATCTTTGATGGAGGCGGAAATGTTGTAGGCCCGTTTGCTTAGATTTGGGTGCACTATAAAGAACCATAGGTGGTCAAAATTTCTGGAGCCCTCCACTACGGTGTCTCTCATAATCATATGCTAGTTTTGAGATGTAAACCCCACATATCAAGCAATCAATCAATCCATTGAAAGCCATATTCATTAAATTTATATGGGTGATTTCTCCTTTCTCTCGGTCCACTCCAATGCATGCTTTGTGCAGAAAGACGTACTAAAAGACCACATGTGTTGTCGTCATGCAAAGAAGCTGAAAAAGCCAAGAGTGTAGACAATTTTTTGGAGAGAGTGAAGGGGGGGGGCACTGATTAAATTTTTATGATGGGTGGTAGGTTCTAGTGCATCCAAGAATTTTTGGATGCCTCAGAAATGGCATTTCTTGCAGTATATTGTGTAGAAAAAAATCTTTTTTTAATGAAAATTTCTTTCTGAATAA